CGTGTGCCGCACCTGTAGCAAGCACACACACACAGCGACACCGAGTCAGACGCAGCGGTCCTTCCACTCCCCTCCTTTTTTCCTTTCTTCCTTCAGCGCGCCCTCACTCACCTACCGCTGGGTTAGGCTCTGCCACGGTGCCCTTGCTGCGGGCACCTGCTCTGTCCTTCACAACGCAGTGACGCCACAAACGACAAACAGCCACACGAAAGCAAACAACAAGAACAAAAAAACAAAAAAAAAACAAAAACGAGCGAAACCCCCCCAAAAAAACCATCAAAGACAAACAAACAAACAAGCCATGAAGTGGAAACAACCAAACAGCCAACGCACAGACACGCAGACAGACACATACGACCGAAAACCAGAGGAGACCAACCTCTGCAGTATGCAAACGCCTTGTTGGGCTCGTTGCCTACTCCTCCTCCGCTGGCTGGCGACGCCGGGCAACAGGAGCCAAGTGAAAATCACTCGAGTGAAAGTGCTGTCAAAGATGATGACTACAACGCATGAGTGACACAATAATAAGAGCAACAAGAGCAAATACAAGAAAAAAGGGAAGGCAATACCAGGGCAAAGAAACCAGGGAAAGCGCACAAAGAAAAATGGTGGGACAAGGCCTGCTGAAGCGAGAAAACCGTTCTCTACGCACACACGGAGTGCGCCTCACCCCCAAAATCCCTCCGGCACGGAGTTATAAGAGCGTGCGCGTCGACCTCCTGCCCAGTCCCTCCCCTTCCCAGCCCCCATCCGTGCTACACCATCGCCTTCGCTGCGTTTGTGCAGGCCGCAATTCAACAGGTCTGCTGGAGTGGGTGCGTGCCTTCCCACACCATTCCGCCAACAAACAGTGCGTTGGCCATTTCCGTTTTACCCGCTGCATTTCCTCGCCCACCCCCCTCTCTCTTCTGCTTGCCCATTCACGAAACGTGTGGTGGGCGAAAGTGCATCAACACCCCTCCACACCCACCACCACTACCCCATCATCATCATTACCATCATCTTTACGTCCTTCAAGGGCGTGCGCGACCACCACATCCACATTAACCGCGCTGCTGCTGCTGCTGTTGCTGTGGGGTTGCCAGCCGTTAACGGCAATAGAGTGGAGACAACAGAGTGGATCTCCCCAACCCCTTCGCCGCTCACGCCTCGGCTCATAGACGATGAGTTCCGGCAAGCACCCGCGGCACTCAGCGGGTATGAATAACACCTACCCCACACGGTGTCGTCTGCGTACCCTCCGTTGCTAACTGCCGTGCAGGTGGGCGGTAGATTGCGCTAGCCACGACAGCCGCAGCAGCGCCCACGTTCTGCCCTGTGGCACCTGTCGCCGCGCTGAGGAGGAGGGAGCGACGATCCTCAAAGTCCCTGCACTGNGCCTCGTATGCTTCAACATCCAACTTGTAGGCGTCCACCCGTTGGGTTGCTGCTGCCGCCGCCACTCGCGTTGCGCCAGAGGGGGAGGACGAAAACACAGCGCGCGTGATGGCTGCCGAATCATGCCCGATAACCAACGTGCGAACGTCACCGCAGACAATCGAAGCCAGATCATCCATGTGACCCCTGCTGAAGCAGCTGCCACTCCTTTTTCTGTTGCCTAACCCACCCAGAATCGTTGCTGCTGTTATTGACGACCCTCGTTCCAAGCGATAACCTTTTCCAATCTCTTCTAATGCCACCAGCAAAGCACCGCGTGACATGCCCGTTCGCCACTTGACACCACCAACCTGTGGAAGCCGCAACGCCACAGCGCTCAGCTGAAACACATTGCATTCCACTATACCAGGGGCGAAGGCACAAGCGGTGAAACTCACACTGTGACTCTCGTGCGGCATCAGCAAGAAAGCACAACCCGTTTTCCCCACAAATATCAGCGGGACTGGAGACGGTGATGCCTGCGCCACCTGCTGACCCACAGGCACCTCAGCATTCACCGTCACGAGGAGTGGGTGCGCCGCCAGTGAGTGACAGTGTAAAGTAACAGGAATATTCACAGAGTCGGGGGCGTCGGCTGTCATATTCGACGTGTGTGGCACCTCCACATGATACACTACGGCCCCATGGTGTGGGTGCAGTGTGCGATTCTTAATCAAAGAGTCGCAGAGATGTTCCTGCATCCACTCGTGCGCCTCGCTGACCAGCGGGTTGCCCGAGCACAGAAAGCTGGCGGGATCGACAAAGTGGAAGAGTTGCCCACTACACGTGCGGCCATCCACCTCTTCCACCACCCACGCCACCGCGACACAGATCGGGGTGAAGGGCTCCACCAAAATTTCTTCTGCTGCTGATGATGACGAGGCAACCACATGACGCGCCTGTTGTTGTCGCAGCAGACTCTCGCCGAGGACTTTGGATGCCGCTCCCCCCGATGAGTCTCCGCTACCACCTGCCTTGTCCAAGTAGAATGACAGGCCACTGCGCGTCTGCACCTCTCCAACTGTCCCGGGCCCGCGGAAGCTACAGCGCATAAAATAAAGATTCATTGACGCATCAACAACACTGGTGCCTATATTTGCTTCCACTAGCGCACATTTGGCGGGAGCCGGGAAGGCCGACAAGAGTGGAACGCAAACCTCTTCAACCAACCCACTCTCAGGTGGAGTGACTGGTACCGTTGTGGCTGGCTTCTGCGTTTTTTTTGGCGACATCGCCGCTGCTGCCTCGTTAACGATGCTGAGCGGCACACACACCGCTTCACCGGCCCGTACGATACAACCGATGGCATTTTCCTCCAGAAGTATCCCGGTGTGTGTGGGGGCTACGCGCCACCGCGGCCGGTGCATTGCCATCACACGCGACACACGTACTGGTGGCTCCCGTGCGTCCGCAACATTGCTAGTCGTGATAAGTGCCGCCGCCGCCATAGTCGCATTTCCAGGCGGAAGCACATTGGAGGAAAGCAGAAGCGTCGGCTTTACCACAACGCGGCGCAAGAAACGATGCAGGCGGACGTACGGGAACGGCGAAGAGGGAGAGCATGGCGCAGGCAAACCGCCCTCCTCCAGTGGCGTCTCGACAATGCAACCAACGAGGAGAAACACATTGTTCCTACACCGTGATGAAGAGTCTCGTCCGTGCTGCGCTTGCACCGTCAGCGGCAGCTTTATACTTGCCTTGGGATCGAGCTCCTCTTTAAGCATCAGAGTCGCGTTCGCGTCCATGTTGCACTCAAGACCGAACGTCTCAAACCACACCACTTGCGCGTTCTGTGGGCTACGCTGCAGCGTAATGGTGTGCGCCCGGCGGTGCGCGCTGCCGTTCCTGAGGACAAGTGTGGTGTGATAATACTCTCCATCTCTCATGACAGCTGGAAGCTCGGGGTCAAGACGCGCGGTGATCCAAGCCTGCGGCGGGCCCACTTCGATCTCCAAGTTTGCCGGCGAGTCTACATTTGGCTTGGGGTGATCCACGGCGTACTCAAAGGCGACACTGCTAAAACCGTTGCTGCTGCTGCTGCTAGTACCAATGTTGGCTTCACTTTCCTTATGCGCTTCCGTGGCAAAGTAGTAATACCCCTCCAATTCCATGAGTGTCCAGCAGAAGCCAATAATGACATAGGTGCCCTCTCCCGCCGGCGAGAAAGCGATGGTGACGGACTTGGATGTACCAGCCGGCAATTCCACCGTCTGCGACGAGGCGCTCTTCCACAACTGCTCCGGCTTCTGCTTCGCCACGTACAGGAGGCAGAGCTTCTCTGCTATGAGGCTGCCGCCGACAGGATTCCGTAGAGTAACGGAGATTTCCAGTGACTCTGCGAGATGCATGGTAAATCGACGCATGCATCCCTCCACAACTGGCTGTTGCATCTTCGCTGGGCCCTCGCGCCAGTTCTGGCGGTGACGCGGGAAGCCGATGTTATTCCCCGTGTACTGCGTCCGAAGCTTATCCTCCATCTTGCGCCACTCCACCTCCGCGAGTTCGTCGCTCACCATCTGTGACTCCTGCTTCGTCACTGCATCGCAGTGGAAGCTGTTCACACTGACACGAATCGACCCTGGCACAATGCAAGGCGCCGCCATATGCGGGCAGAGCGCGTAGCCGAGCTCACCCAGCAACTGCCGCTGCCGGTTCCAGAAGGCATCAAAGTTGCGCAGCCCTGTACGCGGGTTGCTGTACATCGGCGTTCCCATCGACACTGCCACCGTTGCCAATGCCAGGCCACGTGTGTGGTTACCCAGCTTGTGGTACATGTGCGCAAGAAGCGTGTGCAGGTGCTCGTAGGTGAGTTGCCAGTCACCGTGACGCCCAACCCCACCATACACACGCAGTGCACGCAGGTAACAACGGAGGGCACTCTCAAAGAGGTTCTCGTCAAGATACGCACTGCCAGCGATGATGGTGTGCCGTGCGTACTGTCGAATGTGCGAGCGCACCGGATAATTGTTCGGTATCGGCGCAGGAATTGCCAAACCGGCTGGGTGCGGTGGGTTGAGAAAGAGCGACGTTGACGCCAGCAACTCGTGCACAACTGCAGAGTAGAGCTTATTCTTGGATGTCATACCGAGCCGCTGCACGTGCAAAAGCGACGCAGCGGCGTTAACAAGTGCGGGCGGGGACCGTGTGCGGCAGTACTCGAACAGCAGCAGCGATAAACGAAAGGCGTGCGTCTGCACCTGACATGAAACGTAGTCATTCTGCGCAATTTCCAGTCGACAGTCGCCACTGCTCTTCGATGCCGTGCCGCCTGTTAGCCACGGCGTCATGCTCGGAAGCGGGAGGCGGCCCAACAGCAGGTCGCACACACCAAGGCCCTCTTGACAGGCCGCAATGATTGGCTTGTTGAATTCCCGCGATGAAAGCGTCGACTGTGCCTCGTTGCGGCACATGCGGTAGAAACTCACCGCCGAGTCGTAGTCGGCAAGCACGAGAGAGAGATCCGCGGCACGGCGCATTTGCATTTCTAGTGAGCCAGCGAGGTACTTGGTTGGGCCGCCATCGTGTGCCACAACCCAACACTCACTCTTCGACTTTACCTCATCCTTGTTTCGGAACCAAGCGGCCACTTTGCTCAATGTTGTGGTACGTTTTTCATTTACCGTCAGCGTCAGGGCGCGCAGCTTGCGCTCAATAAAGTTGAAGAGACACTGTGAGAGGTAGTACCTCATCACATCGCGCAGCTCATCCACATTCTCGGGGCTCAGGTGACAGCCGGTGACCTTTGCCACGCCATTCGACCACGTGCCGAATATAGTGTGCACACGTGGGAACTGCAAAGAAGCGGGCGTGCTATTGTTGCTGGCGCTGATGCTGCTTGTGGTAGTGGTGCTGCTGCTGCTGGCCGCGCTCCCAGTGACGACATGGGTGTGCTCTACGCGAGTGCTGCCTCCTCCGGTCGTTGCTGTGGAAGTCCTACAATCAGCTTCCTGTTCATGTCTCTGTGCCGCTCGCACTGCCACCAGCGAGGGAACATCCAGCGATGGTGTGTTTGCCTCTATCCAGGGCGATGGATCCATGCTTTTCATGTCCTGTGGATTCACCACGGCGTTAATCTTCACCAACGCACAGTAGGCGTGACCATATTGCGCCTGCACTGCCGCCAGCATGCGTCGTGCCTCTTCAAGCGGTGGCCCCTCCGTGATGTCGTGCACGAGAAGGTAGAATCTGTGCAGATCGTCGTCCATGCATGGCATGTTCTGCCGTGTCTCAGGGGGCCGCCGCTGCAGTTCGCGGAACTGGCTCATCACCTCGTCTACGCCGCCGCCCACACTTGTGGAGGCGGCGAAGATGCACCCAACGGGGTGATCAATGGTGTCAAAGTAGCTACAGCGCACTAGTTGCGCGTAGTCGCGGATGAGCTGCGAGTGCCACGCGGGATGCGAGCGCTCCAGCAGCAGTGACGCCGTCTGTGTGGACAGCCGCGGCCCCTCCACAACGCCACCGCCGTCGCGCAGCAGCGCCGACATGGCGCGGTCAAGCTGCTCGCCGTACGCCAGCTCCATTGCCGCGTTGTCGCGCAGCAACCGGCGAATGTGGCGCGTAAGCTGGGCCGCCCCCACCTCGCGCACGCACGGCACCCGCGTGAGGCGCACACCGAAGTTGCGCACCGTCGTCGCGTCGGCACGTTCGCCGAGTCGCGCGTACAGCTCCGTTGGGTGCACGGAGAATGGTCGCAGCATCTGCACCAGATCCATGCCGTTGCGGCGGCATGCCTGTTCCACCG